TTGAAGGCTTTGATGTTCGGAAATCACTGGGTTGTTGTAGGTTTTTCGGGCTGTATGGCCATGTTCCGGAAGCATTCTCTACTGACGTTTCGCCTGCATTTGTGGCAAGCATCCTCAGAGGTTGTGAGGTCTGTTGGAAACTAGAAACATTGGGTTTATATATCTGTGGAATAATGTCCAGGGTGGGAGAAAGAACTCTTGTCTGTTGGAGATTGGTGTGAATGTTTCAACTGACCACCTTGATTAGTATTTGATGGCCTGACAGTTTTTAGGTGTGGCATCTTACTGCCTGGGAAATTCCTATGTGATTAGGTGTTCCTGATTGTTTCTTGTCTGGAGTTCTCCTGTGTTTGAATTTTGTTTTGTTTTTTATTTACTGTTCTAATTTTAATTGTTTGCGACAACAACTCATTGTGAAGACCGGTTAGAAAGGGGGTTGGTCTTTGCTTGGGACAAGATGTTCTAATGAGAGGCTCTTTTGTGGGATATTCGTCAACTTGAGAGGAGAGGGCAGCTTGTTTTCTGTTCTGGAGCATTTGCATGCGAGGTGAGGAACAAAGAAGCTTGGCTTTGATGCGTTTGGCACAGAGAGAGAGAGACGGAGGCAAAGGGGCCAGGATGACAACCAAGACCGAATCAACCCAACAGGCGCTTGCTCTTTGAAATCAAAGAAAAATATTAATGGAATCATAAAGCTGAAAGTGGCCTTATGGACCATCATAGAGTTGGAAGAGACCTCCTGGGTCATCCAGTCCAACCCCATTCCGCCAAGAAGCAGGAAAATCACATACAAAGCGCCCCTAACAGATGGCCATCCAGCCTCTGTTTAAAAGCCTCCAAAGAAGGAGCCGCTACCACACTCTGGGGCAGAGAGTTCCACTGTTGAACAGCTCTCACACTCAGGAAGTTCTTCCTCATGTTCAGATGTAATCTCCTTTCTTGTAGTTTGAAGCCATTGTTCCGTGTCCTAGTCTCCAGGGCAGCAGAAAACAAGCTTGCTCCCTCCTCCCTGTGACTTCCTTGACATATTTACACAAGGCCCTCATCATGTCTCCTCTCAGCCTTCTCTTGTGCAGGCTAAACATGCCCAGATCTTTAAGCCACTCCTCATAGGGCTTTTCCAGACCCTTGATCATTTGAAGCAACCAAGTGGGGGGGCGGGTGTTGAATGCTCTCATTAAGGAGGCCAGACTTGGTGGAGGTGGTTGACAGGGGCGGAGCTGCAGGCTATTGAAGGCTGCTCTGCCCTGCTGTGCTCTTTGCTTCAGCGTGAGCTAAGAGGCAGGTTTCAACCCCCCCCCCCCCGAAATTTTCAAACCTCCCCGAACTTTTTTTCTGGCTACGGCCCTGCTCATCATGTCTCCTCTCAGCCTTCTCTTCTGCAGGCTAAACATGCCCAGAGCTTTAAGCCACTCCTCACAGGGCTTGTTCTCCAGACCCTCGATCCTTTGAGTCGCCCTCCTCTGGACACATTCCAGTTTGCCAACATCTCCCTTCAATTGTGGTGCCCAGGATTGGACACAGTAATATTCCAGGTGTGGTCTGACCAAGGCGGAATAGAGGGGGAACATGACTTCCCTGCTCTTTCAGCCACTCCTCATAGGGTTTGTTCTCCAGATCCTTGATCTGCTCCCCCCTCCCTATGACTTCCCCTCACATATTTACACATGACCCTCATCATATCTCCTCTTGGCCTTCTCTTCTGCAGGCTAATCTTCCTTTTTTTTATCAAGACCACCCAAAGTCTGTTTGCAACCACCGGTGTGCAATATTTATTTGGAGAGTCTCGGCACAGAGTGTTCTCTTGTCCTCCTTCTGCAATTAGGAACATTTTGGAGACCTTTGACTCTTCAGGGAAGAGACAAAACAGACTGTGACACCTCAGCTAAGGATGCCTTCGTATCCTGATCCTTCAAAAAGTCATCTGCATCCCAACATAGCCAGCGTTTATGCAGAACGGCTGGATAAAATGATGCCAACCCAACACAACCCGACTTGGGTAGGCTTGTAACTTTTCATCCATCTGCTTCTCTTCAGCAGCATTTATTCCTCTGGCACAATGGTGGTTTTTCCATTCCTTGGGGTTGCTGAGCACCCAGCCCACTTTCCAGACGCACTGAGGTCTTTTGCAAACCAAACAGCTGCAATTTTAAATCAGTTTTGGATCAGTGCCTGGTGGTGCCACCACTGTCAACTACAAATCCCATAATTTTACCTAGCCAGCTTGCTGGAGGGGTCTGGGTATGGTACTTTGCAAAATAATCTGCCACCCTTTTTTTTCTCCCCACGAATCCTAGCAAATGAGTCAAGTTGTTTTGATTATCTTTTTAATAATCTTTTCTTCTTTTTTATTGTGTCAAAAGTTAATTGAGAAACTGCAAGTCGCTTCTGATGTGAGAGAATTGGCCATATAAAGCAACAGATACCTATGTATAAGTGTTACGTTGTTCTGTATATAATATATGCACTGCGTAATTCAGTGGTAATTGATTTAGTGAGAGAATTGGTCATCTGCAGAGAGGTTGCCCAGGGGACGCCTGGATGTGTTACCATCCTGTGGGAGGCTTCTCTCGTGTCCCTGCATGGGAAGTTGGAGCTGACAGACAGGAGCTCACCCTGCTTCCTGGAATTGAGTAGAGTAGTCTTCCAAGATCGGTGTACTGGCAGTGGGTCCATAGGTGACTGCGGAGCCCTATTCTTGATTTACATGTTCTCCCACAGTGAGGACATCGGTTTCCAGGTGGAAGGCACTCTCGGTTGGGGTTGGATTGACGTGCCTTCCTCTTGGCACGTTTCTCTCTTTCGCCCTCCATTCATGTCTCTTCAAATTCTGCAGCACTGCTGGTCACAGCTGACCTCCAGCTGGAGCGCTCAAGGGCCGGGGCTTCCCAGTTCTCAGTGTCTATGCCAGAGTTTTTAAGGTTGGCTTTGAGCCCATCTTTAAATCTCTTTTCCTGCCCACCAACATTCCGTTTCCCGTTCTTGAGTTCGGAGTAGAGCAACTGCTTTGGGAGACAGTGGTCGGGCATCCAGACGTGGCCGGTCCAGCGGAGGACCATTGCTTCGATGCTGGTGGTCTTTGCTTCTTCCAGCACGCTGACATTTGTCCTCTTGTCTTCCCAAGAGATTTGCAGGAGCCAATGCTGATGGAATCATTCCTGGAGTTGCATGTGGCATCTGTAGATAGTACACGTTTTGCAGGCATATGGCAGCGTTGGGAGGACAATAGCTTTACAAACAAGCACTTTGGTCTCCCTATGGATGTCCCAGTCCTCAAACACTCACTGCTTCATTCGGAAAAAAGCTGCACTCACAGAGCTCAGGCAGTGTTGCATTTCAGTGTCAATGTTGATGTCTGTAGACAGTCCACGTTTCGCAGGCGTATAGCGGAGTTGGGAGGACAATAGCTTTGTAAACAAGCACCTTGGTATCTCTACGGATGTCCCAGTCCCCAAACATTCTCTGCTTCATTTGGAAGAATGCTGCACTTCCAGAGCTCAGGCAGTGTTGTATTTCTGTAGACAGTCTACAGATAATCAACGTCTTGCAGGCATATGGCAGAGTTGGGAGGACAACAGCTTTATAAGCAAGCACTTTGGTCTCCCTTCGGATGTCCCGGTCCTCAAACACTCTGCTTCATTCGGAAAAATGCTGCACTCGCAGAGTTCAGGTGGTGTTGTATTTCAGTGTTAACGTTGACTTTGGTGGAGAGGTGGCTGCCAAGGGAGTGGAAAAGGTCAACATTTTCTAATGTTACACCATTAAGCTGTATTCCTGGCATTGGAGAGGGATTGGCTGTTTCAATACATTGCAATATTTTGGTGCCAAATTTGTAAATACAACAATTACTACCTAACGTTACCGTGTAGTACTGTACAGAACTGCTTTTTCTGTCAATTTGTTGTAAAACATGATGCTTTGGAGCTTAATTTGCAAAATCGTAACATAATTTGGCATTTAATAGGCTTTTCCTGGATCCCTCCTTATTATCCAAGCTTTTCGCTTATCCAACGTTCTGTCGGCCTGTCTATGTTGGATAAGCGAGACTCTACTATATCGCACTCCTGTGATTTCAATGGTAATTTCAGCTTTTTGTTACCTAGGTAAAGGTAAAGGTAAAGGTTTTCCCCTGACATGAAGTCCAGTCGTGTCCGACTCTGGGGCATGGCGCTCATCTCCATTTCTAAGCCAAAGAGCCGGCATTGTCCATAGACACCTCCAAGGTCATGTGGCCGGCATGACTGCATGGAGCGCCGTTACCTTCCCGCAGAGGTGGCCCTAGGTAATTTTCAACGGTAAGCAAACAGTATTTTGCCCCCCCCCCCCCATCACTGATATATAATTTCTGTTCGTCATGGGAGTTCTGTGTGCCATATTTGGTTCAATTCCATCATTGGTGGAGTTCAGAATGCTCTTTGATTGTAGGTGAACTATACATCCCAGTAACTACAACTCGCATATGTCAAGGTCTATTTTCCCCAAGATCGCCTCAAAAGCGCCCCTGGGCAAAATCAACTATACTGCAAAGGCTTACTTTGAGTAATGGGTTAAGCCGCCCCTCCTGCCAGAGGTAACCTATTGATCTACTCACATTTGCATGTTTTCAAACTGCTAGGTTGGCAGAAGCTGAGGCTGACAGAGAAGCTCATGCCGCTCCCCGGATTCAAACCTGCGACCTTTCAGTCAACAAGCTCAGCAGCTCAGCGCTTTAACCCACTGCGCCACCGAGGTTACCTGGTTGTCCTAAAAGCACAAGTTTTGACCCTGACAACCTTGGTGTCCTTTAGCCAAGAGTCCTTTTGGCTGCGCCTGACCGCCGGCACTCTCTCCTCTTGCTCTCCATCCAGTTCTGGGCTTGGCAGCCTTGCTCTGCTGGAGACCCGGGAGGACTCTCTGGCAAGATCTCTGCCCCAAGGCCTGCCTCCTCGGCTTATTTGAATATCAGAATGAATTACTGCGAGTATAACAGCTGTGGACACAGAGCTCATGTCAGAGCAGTTGAACTTTCCTCTCCTCCACGACTATTTTGGACCAGCCGTCTTCTGGTTGACCTTTTGCGCTTCGCTCGTAGTGATTATTCCAAAATTCTGCAAACAAACTCTTCCTATTTCTTTCTCTTTTTTCTTTTCCAACATGAGACCCAAGACAGGGCAAGGCAGCTGCAAGAATGGTGAGTTGCAGACACCTGCTTTCCCTTTGCTTTCATTCCATAGACGCTGGAACTACAAAAAGGGGCAGCAGTAGAATCGTAGGCTGGATCTGCACAGCCTTATCATCCAGTTTTAGAAGGTGGATTAACTGCATTGAACTGGTTTCTACATTTCCAATCCAATGCACTTGATCCACATTCTGAAACTGGATTATAGGGTAGTGTACATCCAGCCATAGACTTTAAATAGGGCAGTCATATATGCCATCAAAAATTAAATGTGCATATTGTTATTATTATTATGTTTAGTTATATCCCACTTTTTAAATTATTATGATTATTATGATTATTATGTTTATTTATATCCCACTTTTTCTCTCCAACTGGATTATAGGGCAGTGTACATCCAGCCATAGACTTTAAATAGGGTAGTCATGTATGTTGTTGTTCATTCGTTCAGTCGTCTCCGACTCTTCGTGACCTCATGGACCAGCCTACGCCAGAGCTCCCTGTCGGCCGTTACCACCCCCAGCTCCCTCAAGGTCAGTCCAGTCACTTCAAGGATGCCATCCATCCATCTTGCCCTTGGTCGGCCCCTCTTCCTTTTAGTCATGTATATGCCATCAAAAATTAATTTTGCATATTATTATTATTATTATTATTATGTTTATTTATATCCCGCTTTTTCTCTCCAACTGGATTATAGGGCAGTGTACATCCAGCCATAGACTTTAAATAGGGCAGTCATATATAGGCCATCAAAAATTTAATTTGCATATTATTATTATTATTATGTTTAGTTATATCCCACTTTTAAAATTATTATTATTATTATTATTATTATTATTATTATTAATGTGTTTATTTATATCCCACTTTTTATCTCCAACTGGATTATAGGGCAGTGTACATCCAGCCATAGACTTTAAATAGGGCAGTCATAAATATGCCATCAAAAATTAAATTTGCATATTATTATTATTATTAGCCATCCCCTGCCACGCGTTGCTGTGGCCCAGTCTAGTAATCTAGAAAATAAAGTAATCCTTGTGGGTAAACAGTATTTTGAATAAGATAGTCATGTATATGCCATCAAAAATTACATTTCCATATTATTATTATTATTATTATTATTATTATTATTATTATTATTATTATTATTATTATTACTAGACGTCCCCTGACATGCATTGCTGTGGCCCAGTCTAGTGATCTGGAAAATAAAGTATTGCTTGTGGGTAAACAGTATTTCTTATTGTTTGTTTGTCATTGTTGATGTGGTTTGCCTACTCTGGAATATGCAACATGCAATTGTCCTTCTTTAGGGGTCCCTTTCAAATCTAGGAAACTATATCTGTGTGTGTGTGAATCATATCTATCTCTCTATATCTATGGCTGGATGGCTCTTTGTCAGGAAGGCTTTGATTACGTTTTCTTGCCCTGGTGAAGGGAGTTGGACTGGATAGCCTTAAGTATTTTCTGTTGGTCATGTGGGTTTTGTCGTTTGTGGGATTCAGAATGCTCTTTGATTGTAGGTGAACTACAAATCCCAGTAACTACAAATCCCAAATGTCAAAGTCTATTTCCCCCAAACTCCATCTGTGTTCTTATTTGGGCATATAGAATATTTGTGCCAAGTTTGGTCCATATCCATCATTGTTTGAATCCACACAGAGGTGGCCCTAGGTAATTTTCAACGGTAAGCAAACAGTATTTTGCCCCCCCCCACCCCCCCACCACCAATCACTGATATATATTTTCTGTTCGTCATCAGAGTTCTGTGTGCCATATTTGGCTCAATTCCATCATTGGTGGAGTTCAGAATGCTCTTTGATTGTAGGTGAACTATACATCCCAGTAACTACAACTCGCATATGTCAAGGTCTATTTTACCCCAAGAGCGCCTCAAGAGTGCCCCTGGGCAAAATCAGCTATACTGCAAATGCTTACTTTGCGTAATGGGTTGAGCCGCCCCTGAGTCCACAGTGATCTCTGGATGTAGGTAAACTACAACTCCCAAACTCAAAGTCAATGCCCACCAAACCCTTCTAGTGTTTTCTAGTGTCATGGGAGTCCTGTATGCCACGTTTGGTTCAATGCCATAATTGGCGGAGTTCAGAATGCTCTTTGATTGTAGGTGAACTATACATCCCACCAACTACAACTCCCAAATGTCAAGGTCTATTTTCCCCAAACTACACCAGTGTTCACATTGGGGCATACTGAGTATTCATGCCAAGTTTGGTCGAGATCCATCATTGTTTGAGTCCACAGTGCTCTCTGGATGTAGGTGAACTACAACTCCAAAACTCAAGGTCAATGCCCACCAAACCCTTCCAGTATTTTCTGTTGGCCATGGGAGTTCTGTGTGCCAAGTTTGGTTCAATTCAATCGTTGATGGAGTTCAGAATGCTCTTTATATTGTAGGTGAACTATAAATCCCAGCAACTATAACTCCCAAATGATAAAATCATTATCACACACCCCCAACCCCACCAGTATTTAAAGAGCATTCTGAACCCCACCAATTGTGCCAAACCCTCAACACAGAGACCCCCATGATCAACAGAAAATACTGGAGGGATTTGGGATGAATTGACAGTGATTTAGGGGAGATGTAGTTCACCTACATCCACAGAGCCGTATAGGGAACCCAAATGACTATGCCAAAGGGATTCCTAAGACCATCAGAAATGTGTTTTCTGATGGTCTTCAGCGACCCCTCCAAAAACCCCTCGCGACCCCCCTCCAGGGGTCCCGACCCCCAGGTTGAGAAACACTGTTCTAAATAAATAAACAAACAAATAAACAACAACACCAACAACTGCTCAAGATGAATGGGGGTAGCTTTGAGTGTGAACTTCCAATCCAGGTCAGGCGGTTGCTTTGCTGAAATGACAAAGGACCCTTGCCACGAAACTCCCGCCTGTGTCCTTGTGTGAATCCAAAAGAGAAGGTTGCTCTCGGGACCGCAAATAAATTTATGTAACCCAGTTTAAAGCTCTCACAAAATGTTCTGTGCTAAGAGGATTTCTCGACTTAACGTGCGAGATGAAAATACCTTTTTTCCTCCTCCCCTTCTTGAAGGTCAGGTAAAGCGAGCTGATAGATCTCTGGAAAAGACCCAAAAATTAAAATGCTTTGGAGGCAAGGAGGTGCTTTGGGGAGATCTGGGGAAGGGGCCGAGCTCTTTTCCTTGTTCCCAGCTTGGCAGCCCTCGAGGGCTTACATAAGCAAGACGCTTTCTTTTGGCAAAGGCTGGAAAAAAGGGGAGAAAGAAATATCAGATCCAAGGAAGCAGAAAAATGAGGCTCCTTTGGCTGCAAATCTAATACTCTCCGCAGAATGAAAACAATAAAAAAGGACATGCCAGAATCATATTATAAGCATGCTGCTGGAACAGGGAAACAGCCCATCAGCTCTAGCATCTGGTTGCCAACTGAGTAGGAGTAGGATGGTCTTCCAAGGTCGGTGTCCTGGCAGTGGGTCCGTAGGTGACTGTGGAGCCCTATTCTTGACCCACATGTTCTCCCGCAGTGAGGGCATCGGTTTCCAGACGGAAGGTAGTCCCGGTCGGGGTTGGCTTGACGTACCTTCCTCTTGGCACGTTTCTCTCTTTCGCCCTCCATTCGTGCCTCTTCAAATTCCGCAGCACTGCTGGTCACAGCTGACTGCACCTTCCTCTTGGCACACTTCTCTCTTTCGCCCTCCATTTGTGCCTCTTCAAATTCCACAGCACTGCTGGACACAGCTGATCTCCAGCTGGAGAGCTCAAGGGCCAGGGCTTCCCAGTTCTCAGCGTCTATGCCAGAGTTTTCAAGGTTGGCTTTGAGCCCATCTTTAAATCTCTTTTCCTGTCCACCAACATTCCATTTTCCGATCTTGAGTTCGGAGTTGAGCAACCGATTTGGGAGAAGGTGGCTGGGCATCTGGACAACGTGGCCAGTCCAGCAGAGTTGATGGCGGAGGACCATCTCTTCAATGCTGGTGGTCTTTGCTTCTTCCAGCACACTGACATTTGTCCACTTGTCTTCCCAAGAGATTTGCAGGATTTTCTGGAGGCAGCACTGATGGAATTGTTCCAGGAGTTGCATATGATGTCTGTAGACTGTCCACCTCTCACAGGCATATAGCAGGGTTGGGAGGACAATAGCTTTATAAACAAGCCCCTTGGTATCCCTATGGATGTCCCGGCCCTCAAACCCTCTCTGCTTCATTTGGAAGAATGCTGCACTCCCAGAGCTCAGGCGGTGTTGCATTTCAGTGTCAATGTTAATGTATGTAGACAGTCCACGTTTTGCAGGTGTACAGCAGGTTTGGGAGGACAATAGCTTTATCAATACGTCCCTTGGTCTCCCTACAGATTTCCCGGTCCTCAAACCCTCTCTGCTTCATTTGGAAGACTGCTGCACTCGCAGAGCTCAGGCAGTGTTGCATTTCAGTGTCAGTGTTGATGTCTGTAGACAGTCCACGTTTCGCAGTCGTATAGCAGGGTTGGGAGGACAATAGCTTTATAAATAAGCCCCTTGGTCTCCCTACGGATGTCCCAGTCCTCAAACACTCTCTGCTTCAATAGGAAAAAAGCTGCACTCGCATAGCTCAAGCGGTGTTGTATTTCAGTGTCAATGTTGACTTTTGTGGAGAGGTGGCTGCCAAGGTAGCCAGACAGGCTTGCCTGAAGATATTTGGCTTCCTGAGGTCATGGGGAAGATAAAACCACTTCTTTTTCAATTTATGGCATATTTTTGACTGTCCTAATTTGGCAAAGTTTGTCTCGATTCAACCTCTGCCATCCCAATTCTTCAGCTGCTTTCAAAAATGTCCCAGGCTGGATGTTCACTGCCTTAAAACAATTGTTTCTGAATGCAGATTAAGTACTCTGAACTGGATTATATGAGACTCCTGTCTACACTGCCATATACAATCCAGATTTTCTGCTTTAAATTGGATTATATGACACCGGGAACTGGGAAGCCCTGGCCCTTGAGCGCTCTAACTGGAGGTCAGTTGTGACCAGCAAT